CCCCAGAGCCGCCTGCCTGGCCCCTTCTGCCGGTTCCTGCCGCGCGGGGCCTGGACCGTGCGGATCAGCCGAGCCCTGCGCCCGGAACCTCGGCACAGCCTCGGCCTCGCTGCCTTCTCCTCCAGCTGGCCCAAAGTAAGAGCTTCCCTGTTGAAGTCAGTAGAATTATGGGAAATGAAAGAGCAAAAAATAGCTCTTCCAAGTGTTGTACATGCATACGTCAATGGAGGCAATTCCCTCCAGCAGGCCGAAGGCTCCCCCATGGGTATAGCACTGCATAACACAGAGTCCAATTAAATACAAGAAACCTCTCTGCCTGTCAGGGGTTTTCTGCACTAGGCTGTTAATGGAAACATGGTTCATTGGGAAGGAACCCAAAAATCACAGACATCTAAGTTAAATACATTAAACTTCCAAGTACTTCTACTTACTGGCCGTGTCTTTGAGTAAATGCTTGGTCTTGATATGATTAAAAGAGGAGCTTTTGCAATAGCAAAAATATGATTTAACCACAGATACCTTTTTACACGGTTGTCTGTTTTGAAAGCCCCTCATGGTGCGCAGTAAAGCGGAGGTGCGATGCCCCTTCGGGATTTGGGCAGGCATTTGCCTCTTTTGGAATGGAGGATCCTAGTTACTACTATGTGCTTGTTTGTAATGCTCTGACAGATGGGCACTGATGGGGGTGTGGGTGCTGCTCAAGCTCAGAAGAACAAATCCCAAGCACTGCTCCTAAGAGCTCCTACGAGACCAAAGACCACCTGCAGATATGTAAGGAAATAATGACACGTACGGGTCAGCATGGTGGGCTGCTGTCATGGGGAATGACACCCTGTGCCAGCAGACTCAGGCCATGTAAATGAGGCTAGTGGTGCTGCATGATGGAAATGGCAGTGGCAGGGCTGCTAACACTCTCAGTTTTTGCTTTTATTCCGATATGTGACATCTCCCAAATCAATTATGAAGAAGTGAGCAAGTTAGAACGTTAAATAACATGTATCTTAATTTGTCATTAAATGAGTTTGGTGCCTGCGAAATGCATTGCACTGGCGCTGGCAGTGGCCTATAAATCTGAATTCTCCTCATCTGTGGGATGCATCTAACAGTACAGAATGTTGCACACATACTGCACATTTCCTCCCCCTGTACTTATCCCCAGGTCTTTGGAAGACAGAGGATACTTTTCTTTCTTTTTCTCTGTCCAGTCCGTTTCCGCTGTACTTAAGCTACAGGTGAAGGGATAAATTGTGTCAACTGCACTTCATGAAATTTAACAGAGAGTCTGTCCACTGCAAGCCAGGGCCATTCCTTATTTCTGACAAGCCCTAAGCAGTTGTATCTTGCTATTTAAGAAGTCAGTGAGCTGAGCAGTTTCCTTTAGTCACAGGAACTTCCACGCACTGATGTGGAAGCAGATGCTGCACATTGTATTCCTTTGTTGTCCTGCATACATCTGACAGAGTTTTTCTCTGAAGCTGAAGTACGCTAGTTTTTGTTTGGACTGTCTGTTCCATATCCATGTAAAGAATTCAGTAGTGGTGCTGTAAAATTGCTGGGATATTGGAATGATCAGTAATATCTAAGGCATAGTGCAAGCGTGGAAGAGCCAAAGATCAAACTATATCTACCGTGCAATGAGAACAGCAAGAAATTGTTTGCACTAGAAGATTGAGACGTATTTCACTGTCTGGTGTGCTCAAGTCAGTGTGAAGGCTCCAGAGGGAAGGCTGCAGTTTGCCACCTGTTGGCTTTTCCGGGTACGTCTCCACGGCGGAAAATGGCTGAAATGAACTTAGTCCTAACATAGAAAATTACTCATCGCATTTTAGCCTGGGGTGTGATTGCTGCGTGCACAGCAACCACTGAGTGTGGCACTTCATCTTTTCTACCGAGTATCAAGGCCAAATATAAATTCCTGTTCTCTTGTTTTATCTGATTCTATCTTGATTGACCTACTCAGTCTGATTTTTTTTAATTATTCCCAATTGGGGAAACAAAGGCACAGGGATTCCATTGAAGTCACACATGGAATAGATGGCAGAGCTAGAAAGAAAGCGCTGGTCTGCCTGCATCCTGTCCTGTACATGACACTTCACAGCAGATGTCTGTGGAAATCCACTCTGAAGCAAATATCCCCAGTGAGAAACAACTGCAGAGCCTCAACGCTATCTGGCTGGAGTGAGGATTTTTTTTCATGGACCTGACTCATCAGCAGCAAACACTGGAAATAAAGCCTCAGGAAAAAGGTGCCTCCAGGAAAAAACAGGGTATAGAAAAGCAACCTATTTTTAATACATGACATAATACCTATTGTGGAAGCCGCACAGCACAATTTACTGATGCACAGTGAAACCAAATGTAGATCAATGGTGCAGTGTGGGTACAACAGCAGTAAAAAGCGAGTTGTCACATGGTAGAGAACACAGGGGCACGGAAAGTGCTGACTGTCGTGAGCATTCATCATCAAACAATGTTCCTGTACATCTGTTTGTGCGTCGTGGGTTTGCCAGCTTGTATGCTCGGAATTAAGGATTTCTTCCAGCACTGTCTTGAGGTAGGCTGTGAGCCTGGAGAAGCCAAGTGTTGTAGAGCATTCGTTTTATTTGCCAGCCTGCGGCAAATTGCAAGGGCGGGCTTGACCCCGGCGGGAGGCAGGATGCATTGAGTATGAATTGCTTGTTGTCAAGGCTACAGGACAAGAGGGAAACTGCAGCCTTCCCAGTCTGCCCACAGCCCTTCAGCTGAGCCTGGAAGGGCTTTCTGCTGCCTGCGCCAGCAGGGGCTTCACAGCAGTTCTGTCCATGGGAGCTTGACTTCCTTTGGCTGAGCCAACACCAGTGATGGTGAAGAGGGTCTCACCCAGGGTCACTCTCAAGATCTGAATTTTCTTTCTCCACATTCCTGTGCTTGGTCCTGCTGGGTTGTTGTAGACAGTCTTTGGTAGCACCTCCCGAGTGTCTTCTAAGGCAGTAAGCTCCTGGTGATGGCTCCACGAGGCATACACTTCTGCCAACACTATATAAGTCTCTATGAATTGCTTTGTGTCAACAGTGAGGGTAAAAGTTAGCAAAATAGGGATTGTTTCTTCCCCATGTTTTCCAAAGCAATATGTGCTCTATTAAGTTGCGAAACAATTAGTATTTTTTTTTACCAATAAAGCCTTATGTAACACAATGTATTTGGGCATTGTTTACAAGTACATTTTTGCATGGCATATGCTGAAGCATGTCCCACATTTAAAAGTCTAGTGACTAGATTTGTCAATGGGTAGAGGATTGCAGAGCTGAGATCGCTGCTTTTAGGTGGGAGTGGCCAGCTGCTTCACTTCAGCAGTGAATTATATTTCTTCTTTCTGTGTTCAGTCTGCGTAGAGACGTGATGCACACTGTATGTGTCATGTGTACGCCTGTTGTGTACATTCATGCACATGGGAGTGTGCATTTTTATGATCCAGAAGTTATGTGCCATAACTACTCAATCCAAATTGTAGCCTTTTGTTAAAGTATTGAAAATCAGGCTGTGGAAAAGTCATAGTCTTGAAAAAAAGCTAACTATTGGCAAAAGATCTGAATTTTCCAGCTGAACTTTAACGTGTGGAGGTGTTCCTTTAATGTACACAGCTGTGCCCAGATGGGGCTGCTTTCTTTCCAGCAGCTTCCCGAGCCGTTTACTCAAGGTTTTTGTTTTTTCCTCTCATTACTTACAGTGCCTTTAGACTTATGGTAAAGAAGAGGCGGTTGTAGTTTCAGAGCTTTGCATTCCTCGCAGAGCTGTGCCTGTGTTTGCATGCAAAGCCATCGCCTCCCCTCCAACTATTTTAATCATTTCAGAAAGGGTGGGTCATCAGGCATTTGGCAGCGGGCTCCTTTTATATAGCTGAGGTGGAGTCAGCCAATGACCTGCAAGCCTGGAAAATTTTGCAGGGCAGTTTCGCTGGACGGCTTTGCAGAGCTGTGCCATTTGAATTTCAGCACAGACATCCACACGCTGTGCTCTCGATTTCTGGCGCGTGTCCCAGCGCAGAGTTTAGCTGAGGCTTGGGTTTAGTTTTCCCTCCTCTCTCTCCCTGTAGTGACAGCTTCTCCGGGCTTTGCTAGCCAGGACTCCCAAGCGATCATGGAGGATACTACTTTGCAAATTATCGAACCACCAACTGCTTCTGAGGCCTCTGAGGAGCAAGTCCCTGAAGAACCCATCAAATCAGATCAGATCAATGGTGTGATGGTGCTGACCCTTCTGGACAAGATCATTGGAGCAGTGGATCAGATCCAGCTGACCCAAACACAGCTGGAGGAGAGACAGCAAGAGATGGATAGCGCAGTGATCAGCATCCAAGGAGAATTAACCAAGCTGACAAAGGCACACACCACCACCAGCAACACCGTGAACAAGATGCTGGAAAAAGTGCGCAAGGTGAGCGTCAATGTGAAAACCGTTCGGCAGAACCTGGAAAAGCAAGCTGGGCAGATAAAGAAGCTAGAGGCCAACGAAGCGGAGCTCCTGAAACGCAGAAACTTCAAAGTCATGATCTACCAGGTAAGGAGCTATTTCACAACTACTTTATGTCCTGTTAGTGGGTGTTTTCCTTGCTAAGGGTTCTGTCACACTGCATAGTCGGTCCATTACTCTCCCAAACTCCCCTGACTGCCTGGCGGTCCAAATTGAGGCGGGTCAGAGGTAGCTTTCTCATTCATAATTTAACATTATCTATGTGTTCGGAGACAAGGATTGATCAAGTTGCTGCATTTAACAGGAATTGTAACGGAGATAGTGAGAGTGGCCCTAAGCACTCATTGCAATGGATCAGAAGTATTAAAATAACTTGATTTTACTGCTTAGCTAAAAAAAGAACAAGAATGCACTGGGTTGTGGTAGGGGGTATTGTAAATCTGTCTGCCAATGTCTTTTCTACTGAGAGGCAACGTGTATTGCTACGTGGAGAGCGATAATATTTCAGATTTGTGACATGCATCCGATAACAACAAGAGTCAGTAACCCCAGCATCGGAGGTAATCTCACTGACTAGGACAAATAGAGACATTAGAGAAATACAGAACAGCCCCTTGAGCGCATTAGTAGTCGGGTCTGCCTTTGCCGTTGTGCTTGTACAGATTTCCACATTCTTTTCTCTGCAACCTGCAGGGCTTGAATCTTCTAGTTGTCTGGTTTCAATAACAGCTTTGGTTTGCTTGATGTTCAATCCCTGCGCTAAGCTTGGATTTTTCCTTTGATATTAAACAAGAAGAAGGAGAGGAATATGCTTCTATCAGTTTTCCTTTCTGGAGTTAGTCTTCCTTATCAGAGCAAACTCTTATATTGGGCCACGGAAGAAAAGTGAGTGAAATAGTTAATGATTCAGTTAGAACCCTGTGGGTTAATAATAGACAGCGTCAGGGACAAATAGAGAAGCATCTAGTGCTGATCACAGGAAGAGAGAGAAGAAAAACAGAACAAAAGGGAAAACGCTTCTTACTACAGGGTTTGAAGGGAGAGCTGATCATAATAGGCTCAGGAATCTAACAAGTACGGGGGCCTGTGTAACTCTCTGATTCAGAGCTTAAGCATTTGTAGTTTTATCATGCCTGAAAGGCTGAAATATTCGAGCCTATTCAGATCATACGGGCAACCTAACCAGTTACATATATATATTTATTACAAGCTCTTTGTATCAGGCTTTTGGAGGAGGATGGATCTATCCATGGAAAAATAAAATAGAACTCTAAATATACTGCAGAAGCAACAAACATTGCAAAATGAGAAGAGTGAAGGGAATTGTTTAAACATAACGTTCCCCGTGGGTTACGGAAATAGGTAGGAAGTTGGCAAGCTTCTAGGTCCTTTGGAAGCATCCTAAACATTGGCAGATTGTCATTTTGTGAGCTGTTCATTTTGTTTTGCTGTTGCTTATGAATATTGAGTAGAGTTTCTCTTTGACTATGAAAAAGCAATCCCGCTTCTAAAGGAAATCAGGGGCAATACTGTTGCTGGTGTGACGAGGACAGAACAGCCTCTGAGTGAATCAATTGACAGGGGACTACGGCAGGGATTTTGTGAATCATGAAGATATTAGGATAAAAAAAAGAATGATTTGTAATTCAGAACAATTTCCCAGCATGGACTTTAGTCTGATTTGACTGTGAGGCCACAGAGCACGAGTGAGAAATTCTCCGGGTTTGCTTCATGTGAAATGGAGCCTTTTGCGCCCTCATGGAAATCCTCGCACTTCTGCAGGAAGCCTGAGTAGACCTTGCACAGAGGGTAAGGATCCGGTTCTGGGCAGGCCGAAGGTGTGGCAGCAAGCGTGCAGGCTTGTGACGGGCACTGCTAAGGCAAATGAAGGAGGAGAGACTCTTAAACTGAAAAACAAAATCCATGATGGGCTTTTGATGTTTGAATACTAGAAAGAAATAGGCAATAATAATATTAATGTGCCTGAGTAACAAATACTTTTATCGAGAATACTCTTGGGCTGCATTACTGTGGCAAAGACAGACCCATACAATGAGAACTTGACTGCCAGACATGGACCACAGGGAATCTCCTGGAAGGATTGGGTATATTTTTGCAGTCCTCTGCAATAGTGTCATATGATGGAAACATAGTTTTTTGGTCAACAGAGAATGTTTCTAAATTATATCAATCTACAGTCTGTCTCAGAGCTACATTAATTATTATTTCTCATATAGAAAACAGGGTTGCTTAATAGTTGCATTATTCTGTAGATTGCACTCTGTAAAAACGTCATCATGTAATTTTCAATGTACAAAAACCTGAATTGTATGGCTTGGTGTAAGGAAAAATTATCTGTCGTATATAGAAGTCTCCCTTATTTGTGGACACCTTTTATTCTGAAGAAGTTAAACATTTTGGGGGGATCTCGGAAGTGTTACTTTTGGCTTTGGGGGTTTTTATTCTGCTTTGTTTTTTCCTGGGAGGGACAGGATTTTTAGTTTGTGTCTTACTGTAATTATGGAGATGCCATTCTTCAGAAATTCCTAACACAGGCTGACTGTGGGAATTGCGCAGCAGATTTGCAAAAACATCAGGTTACAGTTTTGTGTCCCGATTTATTCATGTGAATATTTTATCACAGTCAGTAATTCTAGGCACATCAACGACAAGAGTGGTACTTCATCTGAGATTATGCAAAACAGATAATGCTAACATGTTTAAAGAATAAAAGTCTATACAGAAAGAAGTGATATTTTTGTGTGTACATTGTAAAGGATTTATCAAATCAAGGATGATGTTCAGCTGCTTTACTGATATTGAACAATACTATTTGTTGCAAGAAGCCTTGTTTTCCTGCTGGATTACCCGTTCACTAATATTCTTCTGTGTTTCAGTATTAATAATCATGACATTTTAAAAAAATGTATCAAGAGTCTATAAAACCAAAACTTTATGATGGGCTCCACCCTGGGAGTTTAAATGAGGAAAATTCACTGTGTTTTCCTAACTGTGTCTATCACTAAAAAAAAAAAAAAAAATTACAAAATAACTCTTGTCTAATTCAGTGTTTCACTTCTCAAGACCCACCACCTATCAAAGTTTATCTTAGATACTTTCTTGATAATTAATTTATTGATTAATTAATTTTGTGATGGTGAGCGACATTATTACTACTTTCTAACTCAGAAAAAGCTGCCTTTGGAAAGCTGTGATTAATTTTCCTTTGCAATTGCATTTTCAGTTGCTCTGGCTAAAAATGCAAGGATTTATTAGTCTTTTCTGTTGGAGAACAAGAGACAAACTCATCTTAAGAGACATAAAATATTACATACAACCAGCGGCGGCTATTTTCAAGCAAGATAGCTGAGTAAAACAGTAGTTGTGCTCTATGGGGATTTAATATTGCATGATTCTGTGGTTTGAAGAAATAAAAGGAGGTAAAAATGAATCAGCTCTTTACCGGTTGTAGATGTTTGATTATTCTCTCAGTGTTGAATACTGAGTCTCCAGCAGTTACGGAGGGACTATTTCAGGAGTGCAAATAAGACCTTTTGGCACCTTGGGAGAAGAGGTCAAACTACCTGCGAGAGTTGTATTTTGCTAGCTGTTAGATTACGAGGAAATGAAAATCAAATTTTACTCAAGGAAAGCTTGACCTGTCGAGAAGAGCCTAAAGCACATCTGCCTGCTTAGTTTCAAACTTTGGGGGAGAAAGTGCAGAACTGAAAATCACTTCCACTGGGGCTGGCTAAGGGCAAAACATTAAGCAGAATGTTTACGGGCCATTACTCGCAGTCACGTATATACGTGCGCAAGCTTTCTCACTTGCTCACTCTCTCAAATACACTTTTACTTGATTTTGCCAGGAGCTGGTCTTATTTCTACCGAGGTAAGAGTTTTTGTGCCGACTTAATGTAGGGAATTAGATCGATTCTTGAGAATAAAATTTGAAAAAAACAACCCCCCTCCAAATTACCACATCTTTTTGTTTTGAAAAAGAGCCTACCAAAACCAAAGGTGACAGACTTTTGACAAGCTGCTGTGTAAACAGAAGTTCAGTACTCTTACCGTAAACAGGACTTGCCTTCCTAAAAAGTCTGATGTCAAATGACTACGTGCACTTATTAGCAGCCCATGGGAACACAGCTCCTCAGTGCTTCCTTTGTGCTCTCTGCCCTGGGCTCCTGTCCTTCAGAGAAATTAGGACACCAACAAATTTGGTTAGAGTGGTTGCTAATAAAAACAAACTAAGGTGACTTCATCCCAAATCTCCTGGTTTTAGGATACAAGAATCTGGGGCTGTTTACTACAGTTCTTGATTAAGTAATGGATGTCCCATGCAAAATGCTACTGCTCTAAAACCAGACAGCGTGCCGCTTTCATCTGAAGAGCGGCACGTGTCAGCGCTTACGTAAGCACGGCATTTTTCCTCCAAACATTTTTCAACAATTAAACTTATTTTTGCAAATGTCAAAGGCCTGATTTTCTTACAGCCAGACATCCGAATGCTTGCAGCGTGCAGCACACATACTGAATGTTGAATTTCTAAAATGTGCTGGTCCTTTATTTTGAGGCTTATGTGGGCGCTGGAGCTCGAGGGAAGTCTGGCTCGTGATGTGCGGCATTGTTTGTTTGAAAGAGAGCAGCCTTTGTCAAAGGTGTGTGGACGGGCTGCTCTCCACGCTGTCAGATTTGGGGGCTCCCGTGGGGCTCCTCTGCTCTACAGGTGACTCCAGTGGCTGCTCAGAGCTCACGAGACGTGGAGTTTCTCTGGGAAGGGCCAGGCGGTTATGAGAGCAGGATAGAACACGAACCTCAGCTGTACAATGTGTAGGGTAGGTAGGGCTGGATGAGGAAATATAAATAGCACAGCTTGGCTTTTGTGCCTTGAGTGGGCCTTATACGGACGAGAGCAACAAGATTGTCGATCGTGGGGAGGAGGGATGAGTTTCAAACCCACATGTTAACGCGATAGATTCAGAGTCCAGACCTGAACTGCCTCATTTTTAGGTCTGTGCTCCTCAAAGCAGAGCGTTGAAAAGAACATGAGCTCGGGGGTCTGATGAGAAGCATGAGGCAGGGAGCACAGGGCGTACAAACCCACGGACCACAGCCGCCGCACCCACCGCTCTTGGGCTGTAGCCTTTCTCCACCTCCTAAATAGCATGTCAGCTGCCCCGAGCTATGGTTTTGTTTCAAATTAATCATTCTGAAACAAAAACCTTGTGAGTCTAATGACAGCAGAGGGTTCATGAGAGCCAGCATTATCTGCAGTCCCAAAGAACAGCCTGTGTGGGTTACATGCCTTGGATTCAGTGCAGCTCGCCTAACTACAAGCGTTAAAGAATAAATACAAATTTCAAATAAAATTTGAATTATAGTACTGGGGATAGGCATGGGCACTAGGCACCCACGTTACGCTTTTCCTGCAAGACCAGTTGGCTCCGTGTGCTTAGGAGCGCTCTGCGCTTGAACTTGAGTCCCTCTCTGGATCCGGAGCAGCACTCTATGTAGCATTTTTTCCCAGTGGTTCACTGCAGAGATTTGCACTGCAGCAGCCAGTGGGTTTTGTATTTATTTTCTGATAATACTTAAAAATAAAAGGCTGGTTTCCTTTTGCTATGAATCCACTGAAAAGCAGCTCCCTTTGTAGCCATTTCCCCAGTTCCAGCAGACAATTACTGAGAGCTCCTTGCTGGTGGGTTTGTGCATCAGCAACCTGCCAAATCCCAAGAAACACCTCCTCCAGTGGCAGTTCTGGTGTGGTTGATGGGGACAGAGTATTCCTCTGGTGCTGGATTTGCTTTTGCTTTATTTTATTCTGTTCTTAAAAGAAATACCAAAGAGAATTAATCATGAAGCCTTTATTAAAAACCACAAAAAATCTGAATCATACAAACTGATACTCATTAATTAAGAGTTAATATTGTTTGTCTCTGTTCCTTTGTCTTTTTTGCTGGAATAGAGGGGTCTCAGCCCAGAAAGCTATTGTATCTTCCCTTCTGTTCTCCTGCTTTTGGCCACAGAAGTAGCAAAATTAGAGGTGAAAAAATGCTGTCCTAGGGGAAGGAGAGAATACCGTTCGACTCATTTCCTTCAGGCTGCAGTGCTGAATTCTCCATTCATTGTAAGGGGCACCATGTTAACATCGGATGTGCAAAGAATACTTCATATTCTCTGCACATTACTGAATTATAAGAGTCTCAATATAATAATTCACAGGAGACTGGCCTTTAAAAAATTTCAGGATGTTAATAGCTCTCAATTCCAGGATTTTTCTTAGTGCGGATTATCAGTCTTTCTACCAAAAGACAGCTCTGGAGCATGGATTTCTCTGTTGCAGCTTGGAATCAACTGCATTAATATTTCATTGCTCAGGTATTATTTATAAGCAGTTTGTGCCAGGACTGTGTATTTTGCTGACATCCTTTCAGCATTATAGTTAGATACTGAGCTGTGCAGCAATAAGTTGTCTCAGAGCAAAGGGCCAGAGGCTGCTTGGCCAGCTGGGATAGGGTTAGATCGGGCGATTAACGGCTTGTGAAAATAAACCCAAAGGTAATATTCCTTCTGATCACATATTCCTCTTTCAGGCCTCTCTTGTGCCTATCAGCAGTGGATCTAAGCATCCGTCATGATATCTGTGTGATGCCAGTGAGGCCACTGCACACGGGAGTATAATGCAGGGCAGAATTTGCCGGCTGTGCTCACTGGGCAGGTGGCTGGAGTGTTCTTCAGTGAGATCGTGGCTCATTTTCCCCTTTGTAAGCTAGATATGAGCCCTCAGCAAACGTAAATTAACCCATCATGGACACAGAGCGGGAAAAACTCTCCGAGGCCACATGTAACCCAGGTTGCAGGCCTGGGATTAGAAACCAAAGAATTCAAGAAGCCAAATGGTGTTCAGACCATGCCTCTCTGGAAAGGCACAGTCCCATTACTCTCCAGCGTTCCCTGGGTGGGAATTTTGACTGGTAGATGGCAAAAGCTGCTTAGTGTTGTATGCGCTGCAGAGCACTGGAAGGGTGTGAGCATCGTGGGAGAAGTGGTACTCCTGCGTATTATCTCCATTTCTCCCGTTTTGTTTGCTTGCATGCTTTTATGTTAATGCAAACACTCTGTAGTTGGCATGTGTCCCTCTGTGTCCTTCAGCATTGCTCACAAGGCGGGCACTGAGCGGCTGTGGTGACTCACTGCGCGCTGTCACCCCGTCTCAGCTCCAGACAAGGCACGCAGTTTCTGCCGGGCACAGGAGGAGTGAGCAACCACTCTCAGGCTAACAGAGACATTTTTCCAAAGAACGTACTGCTTGATCTGGGCACAGATTTGGTGAAATTGAGGGCTGTTCCTGTATCTTCGCTGAAGCTGCTTCTTGCTACGCTACCCAGAAGTGTGATGTGCTGTCCCTATCTAAGTAATGAGTAGAGAACTATGCAGTCTCCACTCTCTGATGTATGTGATGCGTCTGTGACCCACATAAAGCATGGCAATGACTCATAAGCTTGTTGGCAATATGCTTAGCCCTCTTTTATCCTGTTTGGGATAATGTTGTCCTCTTGATTCTGGAAGATCTTCTACAACTTACAAACTGCCTGAAGAATTGTGGGTCCACTGTCCAGCTGCAAGATAAGACAAAGGCCAGAAACAAAGATGCTCAGTGTTGGGGGGGGAGGGAGGGGAATCAAACATTTAGAACAAAAAGTCTCAGGATGTTTAGTCTATAGCTTTCTGTGAGGATGCAAATGGCAGTATCAGCACGGATCTATCTGCAAATCATCTGCAATGCAAACTCCATCTTTACTGGTTTGCTGTTCAGGATTAGCTCTGGAGTTACTAATCAGTTGAGACAGGTTTATCTGGGAGGAGCAGTTCTGAGAGCAAAGCCAGTTGTACAAACAGACTGATAACAGGAACAAAACTTTTTTCTGCTGTCAGAGGGGAAAAAAAGCACCTTTTCATTCTGCAATCTATTTACTTCTCTGTTTCCTACAGCCCTGCCTTTCTTCAGACTCATTGTTAGGCAAAAGCACTTTTCCAAACACAGCCTCCTCCTCTCCCCGTGCCGTTCCTCCCTTGGCTTTCACCATCAGATTTGAACTAGCTCCAGTGCCTGTACTGTGCTGCTCATTCTCACCAGCTAATGAAGAAGATACAGCCTTTGAGGACATAGCTTCCAGGACATAGAATAACTAGATGTGCCTGATAGAAAAAAGTGCCACGAAGGTTGCACAATACACAAAATTACAGAGCGTAGAAGGAGTTTTGCTAGTCAGGGAGATACTACTTGAGAATGAACTAGTTTATCCCTTTAACATTTACCTAATCTCAACCTATTTTGCTTTTTCCCCTCATATTTTACATCTTTTCCTTTGTCTCAGCAGTATTCTTCTGGAGACTTCTTACTGCAGGGTTCAGTAACCTTGTCTTCAAGGAGTCGAGGCTCCTCTTTTTATGGACCTCTTGGCACTACTGGAGATAAAATCTGTCTGATCTTTGGAACGTAAGAGTCGAGGCCATGCCTGTTGCATATGGAGGGGTTAATTTTATATGCCAGCTGCTGCTAGGGGTGCTGAGTAGCCACCCCCTGTCCTCAGGGTGTGTTTAGCAGAAGAGAGAGGTTTTGATTTTGAGGTGAGCATGTTTGCTGTGTCACTGGGTAAAGACGTCTGTAAGCTACTGGGTATTATCCAGCATTGGTTTAGGGTATGGTCAGTACGCTGACAAAACCAATGGATGGAGTTCTGGAATCATACCCGTCTGTTTCGATCTCTCCAGCTTGTGTATTTGAATTAATAAACATAGGTTTTTAAAATCACCATCTTTTCATAATCTTAAACATACAAGTAAACTCTGCTTTCAGCTACACCACAGAAATCGGAGGTATCTCCAGAATAGCTGACATCAAATCAGTCTGTGAACAGCAGTGTGAAAAGAGAGCAGAATCTGGCCCTACGGCAGTGTTCAACATAGATGTGCCTGAAATCACAGAAGGGATTCTGCATCTTCTAGGACCTGCTGTAAATTAGAGAAGGACACTCTTCCTTCTAATAAATCTTTGCTGTCTTTTTTGTCAAATTTTGCTACCTGGCTTCTCCCTTTACTAAATCATACCCCTGTGCCTTTTCTCTCTGCCTGTTCTCATGCTAATCCAGATTACTTTGTTGGCGATGTTCCTGATCAGATTCCCAGCGGGGACAGGTAAGTTTTTCCATTGTGATTCCTTTCCGCCGGCCATTGAAATGCAGTTTTCCTCGTCTTAGCCTGAGAAGATCCAGAGTGTGCGCTTTGAGTCTTCGCCAGGGACTGCCCTCTGAGCCGTCTCCAGGAACGGTTCCCTCTGCCCGCGCTGCGGAAAGTGCCATGGCCCAAATCAGCAGAAGACATGCGAGGAGGCAGCAGTTTAGGGCCTCAGAAGGACTACCCCCTGAAGATCACTTTGAACCTCTTCTGAAACTCTGAAAGCTGCTGATTCCAGAGCCTTTGCCTCTCTGCCTGCTTGTGGCTGCTGCAAGCCTTCAGACCTGCAAGGCTGATCTTTCAGCTGGCAGAAATGCCTCCGCTTGTTGACTAATCTGCTTGCTGCTTGCTGCACGCTGCTGCCCTAGTTATAATGGAGGGTGAGGAGCTGTGATTTTCTCGCAGGCGTTACGGGACTTGTTGTGCGCTACCTCTGTGGTCTGGGAGGGAGGAAATGCTGTATGGCTTGCATGAAGGGCTAGCAGCCAGGAGCAGTTGGCTCTGCTGGCGTCTCTGCTGTGACTGGGCAAATCCTACCTGTTTTCTGAGCCTCAGTTTCTCCCTCTGAAATACAGACCTGATAATACCTGCCTCCTCAGGCTTCTTGTAAGGTTTAGTTTACAAGTGTTTGTGAAATGGTTTGAAGTTCTTGTTTTAAATAGATAAAAGACAGGCAGAGAGCACAAACTATGTGACGTAAAATTCCAGTTGACTCAGGTAGGCGCTGCAGCACCCATTTCTCTTCAGCGGCAGCACCCCACTGCTGTTCACTAGGAGCTAGGCTCCTGCACACAGACTGGAACCAGTTAGCTGCTGTTTATCTAACGCTTATCTCATGTCACAAGGGCCACTGGTAACAGCACAGTGCCCTGTTAGCCTTCCTCTTATTGTGTAGCTACTGGAGAAAATACCTTAAGCTCCAGCTGCCTGCACTTTGGGGTGTCACCCGGTGGTGTGTGTGCAGCGCTGTCCGGTGGGAATGGCCATGTCGGTTGGTGGACAGGACTCCCCCAGGAGCCGGGTGAAGGTGGACTCAGCCCGGGAATCAAGGTCTCTGGGGGAAGCTGCCAGGGAAAACTTCTCCTTTTCAAGGGGAGTGACAAGATTTTTAAAAAAGGCAGTTGTTGTGATATAGCAGGAGAGTCTGATAGCAAATAGAATCTCCACAGGAAAAGTCTGTTCCAACAAGGCACTGGGGAAGAAAGCACAGCCCTCCACTTTTCTGCGCAGGGCCTCTTTACGTCCCTGGCTGTGGGTGCTTATCAGGTGTGTTGCTGTTACTCAAGAATAACTGAATCCTCCTTCCCATGACACTGATGGAAGGTCAGCACAGAAAAGCATCCTCTAAGCACTGGCAGAGCAAAATGGTCACTGTGGCAATGGGAGTGCAGAACATTTTCTTCTCTGGCAGGGCTCAATCTGACCTGGAAGGCTGTCTTCTGCCCAGATGCTTTTAATCCTCCCTCAGCCTCCCCCCAGCCCAGAGTTTGTCTGATAAGCCCCGGGTGGGCAGAGGAAGGGCTGGCATGGTGCAGGAGGTGCAGCAAGCTCCGGCTCACCCAGCAGCAGCCGGGATCAGCTTTTTGGTCATAGCAGAGCCTGGGGATGTGAGCTGGTCATGTTCTGCATGTTACGGCTGCATGTCAACCAAACTCAACTGTTTGTGTTGTTGCAATTCTGTAAAAATAACTGAACGAAATGAATTACAGATGTGATTAGCATGCGCGTGTGAAAAATCCTCCATTAAACCTTCAAACTGGAGATCGGAGTGGCTGGGAGTTCTGGGACTCTGTTTTTTACACGCTGACAATAAGAGCCTCTTCAAGAGCAATCCAGGAGCCCTTCTTGAATTTTGGGAATGTTCCCCAGATTTGCTGGTGATTCTGCACTGCTTGAAGAGCTCTGCGAGGCTGGGAATGCAGCTCAGCTTTGTGTCTCATTGGCCTTTTATATGACAGGGGAAGTGTTTACATGTGTTGTAGCAACCAGGCGGTGTGTACATGACCATTCGGGGCTGCCTGGGTGACTCACTGCAAGGGAACTTGGGCTCGAAAACAACGTCAGATAAAAAGCCCACTTAGTGCAGCAAGGCAGAGGCCGGTCTGCCCGGTAGATCTAACAGCTCTGAATTGTTTGAAGTAGGAGGAATACCGAGCAGCCCAGCACCCCGTCAGCTGGCAGCCAGCTGCCTTCGATGCTGGGCACAGGGCTGGGGCCCCTCCAGGCACCCACAAGGTCTGCAGGCCGTCGGGCTGCCAGTCCTATCGGCTCTGCCAGCGGGAGGGAGCTTCCCGAAGTAAACTGCTTCCCCGGGGAGGTCTGTGCCGAAGGGACAGCACAGCTGTAATTGTCAGATTGTGAAATGGGCTGGGGGTTGGCACACTGTAAATGGGTAAAAGAAAAGTAGAACTTGAATCGGAGCTGAACCTTTCTGTGAAGCACATCAGATGGCAGCGAGCTCAGTCCCAGCACACACGCAGATGCCGCCTGTCCTTCTGCTGGGCATAGCTGTGCTTTGTGCACAGAGCAGGAAGATTTTTCTTCTGCTGGTATAAAAATCTTCTGAGAAATCTTGTTTACCCGCTGTCTTTGTGCCAGCTGGATTCAAGCTGTCTTAGAGAACAGAACTGGTTTGCGTCCGCTGACTGGGAGCCAGGGTTTGAACACCCCAACAGGCAGGGATGCCAAGACCCAGGATTTTGGACTCACCCATTTCAAGGGTCAGTGTTTTCCCAGTAAAAATAGAGTAGTTGGAATGCCTGGTGTTAAAAATGTGGCTCATCTGGATGAGTCATGAGTGAAATAAAGTACACAGACCATAGTGCCTTGCCCAGAGGAGGGATTTGTGTAGCAGCCACCCATAGACTCGGGATGGTTCTTGATTGTTCCAGCAAGGTCCCATGGTCCTCCACCGCAGGTAGACGTGGCTGTGTCTGCAGGCACGTTCTGCCCACACCGGGCAGCTCCCCTTCCCCATGGGAGAAACACCTCTCAAGCAGGGAAGAGGAAGTCCTTGCTGGCATTTGGACACTGCCTGGGTGCGGGTCGGGAGCTACACGTGAGGGATGCTCAGCAGCAACGTGCTCGTCCCCATTAAGACGTGCCAGAGCTGTTGGTTGTTCTTGCACCAGCTGTCCTGTGCATAAGCCAGAGCCTGCCAAACCAGCAGGAACGCTCCCTAGGTGCAGGTGGGCTTTGAGTCAGGAAAGTGACCCACGGCACACAGTGCTGAAAATCCACCAGCTGTCCTCCAGCTGGTTATCTACAGCTTGGATAAGCAATAGGATTGAAGAAGAGTCAGGGGAAAAAAATGCAGGAATTACACCAGGCATAGGAAAGAGAGACGCACTGGCTGGGGGCCCTGGGCTGGCCTGATGGCCCTGTGGCGGGCATGTCACCCGCGGTCACCCTGGCCCTGTGGGAAAGGGGACGGGTGAAGATTGCAAAGGTTTCCCAAGTGCAGCTGGAGAAAAGCTCTAGGAAACAGTTTCGAGGGGGGAGGTCGGATTTGTAGGCATCCTTACTTATGGGAATAGCTTCGTTCTCACTTTGCCTCTGTGTTTGAGCAATGAGGGTGCCTCCTGAAAGAGGCGTGAGGAGAGTCTCAAGTCCATGAGCGCCGCTGGGCTGGGGCTAGGGCAGCTGCCTGCGGGGATGGTACACGGGACAGCAGAAGTGTGGGTCTGTACAGAAGTGCAGTGGGAGTTAGGATCAAACAGCCAGGCAATTGCTATTCTCAGGATTAAGTGGCAGGGATTACAGAGAGCTGCACCGTCACCCTACCAGGGTTGCTCCAGCTGTCCCGTGTAGCAGGAGCTGCTGCTGGCCATGTCTTCACAATTGTGAGGAAAGAGTTGCAGGATGCTGCCGAGGTCGGATGGGTGTTATTGCTAGTGCAGCACATTCAGCCACATCAGAAAATTCAGTCAGAAGATGGATTTGCTGGTGTAACACGAGGAAAGGCAGTTACTTATGTGGCAGACATGGAGTTTTTGAGGTGGTGTTTCTTTCTGCACACACATGTTCTGGAGCTAACAAGGGGCTGATAAGTATCTGAGTTTGCAGGATATGGCCTGTTTCCAGTGACAGTCATGCCAGGCGAGAGGGGGATGCCTTTGTTCTGGCTCATTGTGTTGACTCGAGGGAAGGAAGTGGATAGAGTTCCTGATGTTCTCGGCTCGGTGGGGCAGGGTCCCCGGGAATCTCTGGGATTGCTCCAGCAGGTGTTGTTGTGGAGAACAGGATCCCTGCCTTCCCAGTGATGTAGATTTGTTCTGGACTGACCTGACCCTCTGGAGAGCATGTGTATTGTTTTCTCCTGAAGTGGCTAATCAAATAAAGAAAACATATGTTGGCCACTTCACCTTAATCTCCAGAAAGTATTTTGGGACCTGAGCTGTGATCTGGAGGGTGAAGAGCTTTGCCCAGCACAGCTCTCTGCTCTGAATAAAACCCAGAACCAAACTCCTGCTCTGGCAGACTCTGTGTTTTGACCGCGAACACTGCAGCCCGTGTCACCTTCACTGAGCCCAGCGCCCCACAGAGCTGACTTTTCATTGTTCACAAAGTTTTTCCGGGTGAAGCTGTGCTGGAGTCACATATTCAATAAGCTTATGTCAGTTCTCAAGTGGTATAAAGGAAGGAAGAGCTGGGGACAGCGTCGCTGGCCGAGCCGAGCAGCCCTGTGTCTGCCGAGGGAGCGTCCTGTCCTGCCTCCGTCCAGGGGCTCACAGGCCGGAGCAGCAGCGTGGCGGTGACCTTGGTCAGCCGGAGCAGCAGCGCGTCGGTGGGGTGTTGGGAGAGTGCTCGGGGTGTGGGCGTGCGAACACGCCGTCCCTTCCGGCACTGTGCGAGGGATCGGGACGTCCTCTGCCACGGCAGCACCAGAGGAACCTGCGCAGAAGCAGGGCTGGAGTTGGCGTGGCTCTTCGGGGCTGGGCCTCAGAGGCTGTTTTGGTGGTTTGACCATCACGAGCATCCTGGGTCTTGACATCTGCATAGCTCGTTAGCTCGCGGCTGTGTTGGTGCAGTGGCTACTGCTGTGCAAACATGACACGTGGAGCATGCAGCCTTGCATGGGATGCCATGGCAAATTCACCCTCCCAGGACACAGGGCAGCGCCGCTCTCAGCATCCCCGAGCTGGGGGAAGGCGAGTCGCTGCTGGCGTTTGCCACATGCTTCAAGCACTTGGGCCTGGAGTACCCCAGGGTCTGCCCCTTGATTTCCCTGGGCCCTGCTCCTGCCAGAGTTGGACTGGGATCCCCCGTCCTTGCTCTGTTCAGCTCCTGTCTGCCCCAGGGCTGGGAATGGTGCCCAGCTGTCCTGCTGCCCCAGCTTTTCTCCAAACCTC